CCATTGTAGTATTTTTACTATATGGTGGATCCAAGCTCAACGTCGTTTAAAAGTTCTCTCAGCTGACTGGTTTTGTTCTTTCTTACTTTAAGTTTTTCTTTGCTTCGTTTTCGATAGAAATAGCATGTCTATATCTATAATAGGGTTTTTAGCGATCAGCTTTATACCAAGTGCCCTAGGTTAGGCCCTACATGTGTTTCCTGCTCTAGAAATAACTCAGATTCGTGTTTAGCGCATATGTCTGATAAGTTTAAGTAAAGTTTCATTATCTCTAGATATACCCTTAACAGTTGTTATTAGAATAGTTGGTCCTAAAAAGCACCAATTTGACAAAATCATATTAAAGGGGTGACTGAAGAATTAGGCGATTAATTAATTAATCATTACCCGGGGTATGCCCGATTGCGGTGGTCTTATTAGTACTTCAATCTTCGTACAAGCTCGTTCTTTGAACCCCATAAGTAATGTCTAATCTTTTACTTTTTATTAAAAATTTAAATTTTACATGCTGTGTATTACTTTGGACGATATTTCGAATCAGATTTGTATAGTAATAATTTTAGGTATTAAAGACTTAATTTAAAATAACTTATTTTTAACAACTTAGGTATTAAAATTGTAATATCGGTCGCAACTCATATATATAGGGATTTAAAAAAGGTTAACGAATTAGCGTTACAGCTGATTTGAAAACTAAATATTATGAAACGAATCGGGGATATTACATTACACAAGCTAAACCGCTTGTCTACAAAAAAAAATCGGGGAAAATATGATACGGCTGGAAAGACTAATGACTTAGCTAATTGCCACATAAATATCAATGTAATGCAATAAGGATGATTTTGTATATTTATAAATATACAAAATAATATTATATTATACATTATACCCATACAGATACAATAGTAAAATAAAACTACAGCTATTACACAATATAGTAAATACTTATTTAGATAAACGTAAAATGGTCCACTGAACGTTAACGATAAATGTTTCAAATAAAGGTTAAAACATGTTTTCCAATTCGAGGTAAAAGATTTATTAGAGTTCAGCATAAAAGATAAATTCGTAACAAAATTCATATTATTATTCAAACGGTACTCGATACAGTAGCAAAGTAATTTTGGCAACAAATATGTAGATTGTACCTTACTACTTTGACACACAGAAACCACAAAAGAATCAGCTATAGCGCAAAGCTACCCCTTAACCAAGACACGACTCTCTTGTTTGACAGATAGAACTCGTCTTTTCGATAACTGAGCAGCCACCTCATCTACTGGATAGAACGACTGTCTTTGATGACTAAGCAGCCTTCATCCCTACTGAATGGAATGATTGTCTTTGATGACTGAGCAGCCTCCAACCTTATTGGATGGAATGACTCTCTGTTACTGGGCTAATTATACGAGAAGAATCAAAACTAACAAAAAGTCTATTGATATTTTAATAATGCTTTATGTAGTTGCAGAACTACAACAGTAACAACACAAACTTCGATAAATTCAATACGAAAAAGCGGAAAAAATGGGTCCTCCGTATAAACGAGGATCCGAAACGAACTCCTATTTAAATATCGAAACGCCAAATTAAATATGTATTAATAAATATTGTGTCATATTTCTTGTATTCTATCCAAAAAATAAAAAAAAATAAAGTTGGACATATTGAGATGGATAACTGAATACTATAGAGTACAGTTAGTTGGAGCTACCGAATATTTTAATACAATCAAACTTGGTGTGAACATTTTGGTTAAAAGAATAAATTTGATTTTTATACTACACATGCAGTTGACGTTTCTATATCCAAATTCCTTTTTTTAGTTCTTTTCTAGACACGTACTAAACAAATTTTGTTTATATTGCAATTTCTTCTTTTTGTAGATTTAATAGTGATATGAAGATATCAGTTTGATACATAGACATAAAATACAAATGGACTAACTGTTGCAATAAAGATCCCTTTCCCCAGTGCGACAGAGAAAAGTGACGAAAAGTAGACTAGCGTCTAGAGCCTGACCTACTCTTATGTGCAGACTTGCGCAGTTTCATTAATTTGACATAATATCTATGTTAAAAAAATATAGGTACATATCTTAGAGTATATACTATATGCATTATTAAAAACAAGTTGAGATACGAAACTGAACTCACTCTTCTTTATTGAAATTAGGTATAGAACCTTTTAAAGGTATAAGGAGACATGCAGAGAGTGATCTATTCATTAACCACCCTGTATCGTAAAATAAGTTAATTAAAACTTTAACATGCAATATATAAAGTTCTGGGAATTTTGTGCAGAATCCAAAAATTTTATAATATAACCAATGTTTCATT